CCTTTTTCTGTGACTCTACCTGCGTCTGTTTCACTTGGGACCAGAAAAAGGAAGCCTCCCTTAATGTCCTTGTCTGCCAAGACCCATGGAGGCTGAGCACTCAGGATGCAGGGGGCCTGGGCAGCAGCATGGTCACCGGGGAGGTGGCTTCTACCACCGCCTCTGCCCTCCTGCCCCCAGATCCAGGCTCGACCTCAGCCCCACCAGCATCCTTTCCCTCCCAGTCCCCTCAGCCCCTCCTGACAGCGCTCGGGCCTGGGTTCTGGTCCTGTCACTGCTACCTGGTGGCCCCAGGCAGGGTCTTCCCTACTCAGAACTCAGCCATCTCATCGTCGGGACAGGGCGGTCACCGCTGCGTCTCAGGACAGTGCGGCGGATGACACTGCCGGAACATGTGCTTTCTGCTCCCCCGGCTATGGAGCGCCTGCTGTGCGCCAGTCCTGCTCCAGGCAGGGCCACAGGGGGGCGAGGGGAGTCTGTCCACAGCTGAACACATCGAAGCACAAGGCTAGAATGGGGCAAGTACTGGGAAGAAAATAACGGACAGCAAAGAAAGAAGACAGTGAGGAGAGGAGAGGTGGGGCTGCAGTGTGCTCTAGGAGATGAGCTTACTGAGTTGGGAGGGAGGCAGGCACCGAGCCCAGTCTGGGAATGGGTGGTGGCGTGGAGTGTGCAGGGTCCGAGGTGGGTGGTCGGGAGTGGGGATTTTATTCCAGGTGTGGTGGGAAGTTTGAGGAAGGGAACACGGGGGTGGCATGAGCTGTCCCCTCCGCCTGCTTCCCCAGGTCCTTCCCCCTGACTAGACCATAAACTTTGTGGCCAGGTCCACGCTGAATATTCTTCCCATCGGGCGGGCCTCTGCCAGGACATCAGGGCCAGGAACAAGTCGGGCCAGAGAGGATGGGAGGGCTCTCGTTTGAGCTGATCTCTGTTCAGGCCTCAGTGGAGCATGGACGTGGGGGAGGTGGTGAGAGGGCAAGATTAGAAGTGGGCCAGGCAGGTGTCACAGGTGAGCAAACTGGCTGAGTGGGGCCTTTGGAGAGCGGCCACAACTTGGTCAGTAGGGGCAGGTGACGACACAGGCCACCCCTGTGTGGAGTTACAGAGCCAAGCGCATGGGCCTGGGACCCACATTAAGCACTTGTTTCTGAGGACCGGATAGTAGGCTTGGATCCTGGTTCGAGCACTGACAAAGGTGGTGACCCTGTGTGAGCCCCTCAGCCCTCAGGCCCAGCTTCCTAGTCTGTGATTGGGGGTGAGCCCGTCTTGCAGCTTCGAAGGTGCAATGTGGGTACCATGCTCCCCCATTGATGTGTACTCCAAAGCCCTTCCCCCTGCCTACAGCCCACAACCCCTTCAAGACCTGGCCTCAGGACAGAAGGTCGATGTGTACTTTGCCCTGAACTCAGAGGCAGGCCCCCTGGGGTGCTGACCTTGGCCTTTCTACATGATGACAGCCTCTTGAATCTGCGTACCGGGTTCCTCTCCTTCACCCTGTGCTTCCCACCGTCAGGCTGTGCTCCCACCCTTGTCTTTCCTGGCCGTGGGAAGGCCGGGGCCATGTCTCTCCATCACTCTCCCTAGACTCAAATCTTTGCCTGTGGCTTCCAGGCAGGGACCTAGGCCTGCCCCTTATCTCCCAGCATCCTCTCCTCCCTGAACTTAGTCAGCCACCTGGCCTGTCAGTACCTGGCACCTGCCCATCCCTTTCCACTCAAGGCTGTGCAGGGAGTAAGCCACTTCCTAGCTGCCTGCCCATGGGCCGCCTTCCCTCTCTGCACCTGTTTGCTCGGCAGTAAAATTGACTGGTCAGTCTCAGTTGGGGGTCATGAAAGAGGCCCTAATGGAGGCTTTCAAGTCACGGCTCTTTGCACCCCTTGCTCCTCAGGTCACTGTGTGAGGACTCACGTGTCTCCTCCCCCTTCTCTCTCTCCCTGCAGGACACTTTCGTGGGACTCTATGGGAACAATGCTGCAGCTGAGAGCCGGAAGGGCCAGGAGCGCTTCAACCGCTGGTTCCTGACGGGCATGACTGTGGCTGGTGTGGTTCTGCTGGGCTCGCTCTTCAGCCGGAAATGACCAGACACTGACAGCCCTTTCCCCTCAGCGCCCCTCCATTCCATCACCATTGCCACCAGGAGAACCACTACATGCCACCCTCGCCTGCCCACCCACCACAGGGCAGGGCTTCCACCTGGTCCCCCCACAGTTAACTTTTCTAGAATATCCCACGCTTCTGTGAGGGCCACCTTTCCCCACACTTCAGTTTTCCTGCCTCAAAACCTACAGCTTCTCTGTGGAAGCTGCCAGGTGTGGGCAGGTGTTGTGGCCGGGGACAAGAGAGCCCTGCTGCTCGATAGGCCCCTCAGCCCCTAGCCTCCCAAGACTGCTGTCTGCCAGGGAGCTGGAAAGCTTCCTCACTCTCTTCCCGGAAAGAAAGACTAGATTGCCTCCTTGTGATGTCTGTGGCCTCGGAACTGACCATTTCCCT